TCCCTTCCCCGTCCACCTTTATTCTTTTCTTTACAATAAGGCTTTCAAATAAGTCATGGTTGTACGGCAGAGAAGCATCGGTGTTGAACACTGATGTCATGCTGTCGATGATGATGATGATGATTCACCGATACCTTATCGAGTACAGGGATATCAGCTATATGAACATCCAAATCCGGAGAATTGATGAAAAGAACACTGCCCTACCAGTAGATTTGGTGCGGATACTGTAGGACCATTGATGATGATGATGATTCACCGATACCTTATCGAGTACACGGATATCAGCTATATGAACATCCAAATCCGGAGAATTGATGAAAAGAACACTGCCCTACCAGTAGATTTGGTGCGGATACTCGTAGGACCATAAACGATGATCGTTTCACACAACTTCTAAAAAAGTACCAATCTCCGACACGTATTGCCACATCATATCATCTAGCGTCCCGCAAAATGCAGTTAGCCGAACATTCAAGCCGATCACAAAGCGATTAGCTGTCATTAATGATCGTTTGTCCCAGACCAAAGTCCAGAGTTGAACGCTCGTTCGGTTCATACGGAGAGTGCGACGGTGAAAAAATTCCACTGACAACCGGAAAATGAGCCTCTTGTGTGTGCACCTAACCAGTTAACCAAACAAACGACTGCAATGGACTCGGTCCTCGAATGCGTACATCCAAAAACAAAAGCGACAATCCACTCAGGTCGGATCTCAAATGGTCCCACAACACTGATTTAAAACTCATGCCTTCAATGCAGTATTAACAACCTCGATGCGGCGATTAATCCCGAGAATATTCGACAAAATGAGAATGGGGAAAGTAGAGGGATACTGAAAAAAACGGATGTTGTCCAAACCTATTCGCAACACTGAGAGAGAGAACAGAATGTATGACCGAAAAAGGGGACTTAAAATAGAGTAGAAGCGGTGAAACAACCGCATCTACAAATAAAGTTTCTGTTTACGGAAACTGGGTCTCTCGTTGATGATATTCTTCAACTTAATGTGCTGAAATGAGACTTCATAGAGTTTTGGTAGGAAATTGAGGGAATCCACCAACCTGACGACCCCCCCCCCCAAAGGTCAGACCGGTCGTGGACTGTCAAAGAGTTTTTAGCAGCGTGTTTTTTAGCAGTGTGTTTTTCCTGGACAGTGTACCGTGATATCTTAAATAGTGAAACATGAGGCATGTTTCAACCATTACATCCGGTTGAAGAATATCATAGACGCAATGTTCGGCTGGGATTCCATTGAGTCTCTAGTTAAGACCACATTGGTTTGTACACTACCAGTTGCGTGTAAATATGTTCAAGTATGGCATAAAGTTGACGCAAATTCGTGAGCCCCAAGAAGGGCGAAACCGGCAGTGGACTGTCCAAGAGTTGTCAGCGAGCTTATGAGCAATGCGTTATGTCAAATAGAAGCAATCCATGAGAGAAACCTGGTAAGGCGAAATCAGAACTCTCAGAAACTGCAGATCAGAAAATATTGGCGGGGAACTGCCAAGTTGAAAATTAACCGATCGATTTCTCAACGGTGAACAAGGAACTCACTTCATTTCCATACCCGGAAGATGAAAAAGATGGCAAACTCCATCGTACTTCGAGGCTGTACGATACAGAATGTCCAGAGCACCACCCAAACGAAAATGTCCTAGAGTACGGATTGGGATGGAATAAACGAAGGATGAAGTAATCGGCTGACCACAAACTAGCGTGAACAATGTTTGTAGCCTATCGGCGTCGAAAAGCTGACTTAACAGTTCGGTAGAAAAGCTTGAGTAGCTTTAGCGAAGTCTGAACCTAAGTTGGCGTTACCGCGAGATTCGAATAAGTTGCTCGTTCTGACCAATTGAAAGATGCTTCAGAATTGTTGACTTAATTAAGATGTCGAGGTTTTCCTTTGTGCGTAACATGGGAAAAGCGATTGGGAACGCAGAGCGCCTACAGTGATTTTCACTCTGGCAATATATCGAAATATTTTAACTCGGGTGTGTGTTAATTAGTTGTCAATCGGGTGGCTGTTGATCCATTGGCCGAGCTTGGCGATTCGCATGTAAACGTGGACGTTTACCTGTTCAGACGTGGAGGCTCGACTATTGGAATATCGAGGGAAATGTGTTGCCAATGGCCTCTAATCAGAGTACCTGTAAGGCGATGGATTAACCCGAATAATCGCGTCAGCACGGGAGGCAGCTGAAAATACATTGAAACAATGGCACTTCGAGCGCATTCACCAGTTGTTGATCAGGAGGATTTTGATCTGCTCTGCTTGCCAGGCTCGATAAACAGATCAGCAGGGGGAGGACAGTTCAACCGTGAGCCTGGTGGCCTCAACTTCCGCAGACTCAACATCTAGTTTCAAGGATCACTACAAGTATGGTCACCGGAAGCACTGAAAGGACACCCAATCTGAAAGAGCTGACTTAATTTTGTGAAAATTGCTGAGTAGACCAACACGACGGCCGATCAGTTTTTCCGTTTGATTCCACTCGCACACAACGTTCACCTAAAGAACTGTGAGAATCTCTATGATGAATCTCTACTCCAATTCAATGGATATGTTGATGACGGCAGCAGATATCCCCCCCAAACCATAATGTATCAATATGACTATGGATTAATTCTTATAAAACCCCTGAGGACGCAGTGTCGACAGGGGCCAATAAACACAAAAGGTCGAGAGAGTCAAGAAAACGTCACGCAGAGTTGACAACCGACCGCCTATCAGCTTACCTGTCTCCCAACACACCGTCGATTGTGACCATTGCCAGGTGAAAAACTCGGTTGCATTGTACGGGTTGAGACTGGTAGCACAAAGCCAGTGCATCGACTCAGACACGATATAGAGACGACCATGTAGCAGATGACGCACTCGGTCCCACCAGGCTAGTCGAGGTACGGACATATCCCATGGACGGGGGAAAATATCCTCCAGACGTTGATTTAGCCAGGCCAAGGTTGGCTCCCAGTTAGATCCATAACACATGTGGATTGTTTTCAAGTCTACGTTCGGTCAAAATAAACGGGATCGTGAAGAGGTGGGTGCCAATGAATAATAGGATGAAATAAGTCATAAGCTAGGGACATAAAAGCAATCCATAAGCGCTGACATCCGTGTGCACCTGATTAACCCAGTGGGGATTGAAATGAAGCTCTACAAACACTACAAACGGTGCAGTTGAAGTGAACCAGATGCACTAGACCTCCGATGACACCGATCCAAGTGGCTTGTAGAGGGCCGCCGTGCCAAATTACGTTCAGCCATTGAGAAAGAATGACGATGCGTGTGGTCCCGGTTCACAGAAGATAAACTTCATGAGAGTTGTTTACGCCGACCAACACAGAGCAGCAATCAGGTGGCTCAATGGCTAGAGCGCGAATTTATTGACCGGAAGGTCCGTGGTTCGAACCCGACCTATGCCTCTCGACTTCCCCTGTCTAGGCTTGGGCAACCTGGCAGTATCCCAATCCTCGTGCTTCCTTCCGGTAGCATGGCACCTAGGCACCGAAATGGTGTTACAGCTGAGCGATTTTTTGTTCGCATCGTCATCTCCATTGGTGGCAATATCAGGGAAGAAAACTGGTGCGACCACATCAAATCATTGGAATAAAGTCTCAAAATGGAAAGAAAAATGGGACTAGCAAACCACAGCAACCCGAGGTGTCTACCCCTCCAATACACACACAATTTGGATAGAAATTGACAGCAGGAAGGCTACTGACGTCGGCCAGTCGACACTTCTTTCGGTGTCTCTAGCCAAGCACTGGGACGATTACATGGGCCTCATCCTGTAATGTGAACAGCACTAACAGTACCCAGAGTATTCATAACATCTTCCATTCCCTTCTATTCCGTCACATTTTGTCCATGTCTAGGTCTCCTTCCATGAAATACCCTCTTCTACACTGATCTAAATAAACGTTAAAGGTAATATAAAACTGACAAGTCTCCGATAGCATGACATCAGTGTTCAACACCGATGCATCACTGCCGTAATGGCTGTACGAGGGCTGGGATACTACCAGGGCACCCACACCTAGGCAGGAGGACGATTAGGGTCCTCAACCAAAGCCTTTGGCTCAAAAGCCTAACCGCAAAGCAGCGGTGTTTGGCAGGAAATGCAAATGCATTACCATTTCTACGGAACAAGTCGCCACATGTTCCAACCCCCAACCTGGAGGGCCAGGAGATTGTGTTCGTCAGACCTCTAACCATTGACCAACCTGGTATGGGAGACACTGTGAGTGTCACGGGGACATTCCCCAGCATAGCTCAAAGGATCGCTGATGTACGCAAACCGTCACACCACGGTCTCTTCGTCTCCGAGGTAAAGCAACGACGAAGGTTTTCGCGACGATAAGAGAAAAAAGTTTGACTGTGGATCGGATCGAAGAACCTACCTGCGGTAAAATCGTAATAGAACTTTAACGGCCAACAGCTTCGGGTCACGGTGTATTCAGGCCAAGGATTGCCGGGTATCACCTGAACGGTCCTTTGACCTGAAACAAGTAGTAAATGACGATGAGTAGGTTATCACTGGGTGAAACTGATGGAATCATCTCGCATTTTGATGGATTCGAGCAGAACAAAAAACGCGGCAGGATTATGATGTGTTTGAATTCAGTTACTTGCACACAAGTTTACCATGCGATCCGAAACCATATATTTAATCGCCAGGTTAATGACGCCTAAGTTACGGAGAGAAAAAGCAAACGTCGGTCACGAAAGCTACAATGTTGTTTTAAGAATAAACCTTATAGCATGGGCGTCAAAACGAACTAGTCATCGCACGCAGATAGGACGAGTTTGTTCAACAGGTTGGGAAACCGAGTAGTATTGCCAACGAGCAAAGACCACCAGGGGCCACATTAAGGATACCTCTAAGAACAAGTTAAACACTTATCGAGTCCGAAGTACTCGTGTTCCGTAACGTTGTCACGAAACTCCCATTTATTATCTACTGTACTGTTTCACTCTCGCTCCAGCAGTGTAACAAAAAGCGCACTAAGCCTGTCGCCTGATGTGCTGGTCTCTCGCAGGACAGTTCGTTTCTGCGGTCCCACACTAGGTAAGTCGTCATCAAACAAACGTAAGATGACATCGAGGATAAATCGCACTCCATGAAGCCTGGCAACTTAAAACAACAGCTGCTGAAATGCCTGTAGCCTTATCTGCTAGGGCTCAGTAAGTGCACTGCATTGAAAAGCGGCACTCCGTTTCGTTCGTCGCACTACGAACACAGCGTTCAAACACATTTACCAAGAAAATTCTGAAACGAAGCAAAGATCTAACCAGATTAGTAAGAAGGCAACATAATCATTAACCTACCATACGAAATATGCTTAGCAAAAGTATAACGCTTTATTACCAAAAACGGTGAGAAAAGGCATCAGTTCCGGTGAACTGGACACAAGATATTACTCCCGTATTCTTCCAACGATCATGATGATTGGCTTCACAAATACCTCAGCCTGTTTTCTGTTGCCCTTGAGATCGCACTTTGGTGCCTACTTTCGAATAAGGGTGGGATATTGCTCTGCACGCAACCAGTGACAAATCCCCATTAAACTTCAACGACGATGTCCCATACAAGAAATTCTACTCACAAACAGCATCCCCCAAGGTGATTCAATCCGTTCTGACCAAGAGGTTAGAGTAATTCATACTAGGATCCTTAACACAAGAAATAAACAGACAGAGATAAAATTTGGTGGAACGTTTGAACGATTCCCAATCCCTCCAGCTAGAGTATCAGCATGCATACTCTCTAATGAATACCGTTCAGCAATCCAACTACTTAACTCCGGTACCTGACAAATTCAAGAAATAAACAGACAGAGATAAAATTTGGAGGAACGTTTGAACGATTCCCAAACCCTCCAGCTAGAGTATCGGCATGCATACTCTCTAATGAATTCCGTTCATTAAGTGTCTGAAACAAACACTCATTACAGGCTTTATGACAGCACCGTTGCTCTTACACTAAGCAGCCATACCAATGATATACTTCAGAAGCTCCGACCGCGAGATGAAACGCCAGTGTTTCCAACCACTGCGAGTTGAAAACCTCGACTGAGAATCAGCTACGCTAGGTGCGACAAGATCACAAAGACTGGACGTCATATTTTTATATAAAAAGCAACAGAAGCACGCCTCACTGAATTAGCTGACCACCGCTTGGTAAGTAGACAGGCTTCATGATCAGTCAGGAGGGATCATATGTCATGTTGGCCGGACATAGCACCGAGCATCACGCGTGGTAGACTTCATCGTCTCATACAAATGAATTTAGGCAAATTCCAGTCTCAACCACGGGAGAGATTTAATAAGCAACAAGGATGAGAAAATGCAACTTTGGGTGAACTATTTCAAGCAAACATCCGTCAACTCAAACCCAACCTCAATATCGTATAACCGCAACTGCGGAGAGTTGAGCAAGCAGGAGATGACCGTGATTACCAAACAAATAATGAAAAAAATCCCCAAGCATTCCAGCTGACATCTACAAATCGTGTTCACCAGCACCACTCGAGATTCTGCCCAACTGCTCTTTGGAACCCAAAAAATAACGACAAATCAGTCAAAGTGACGTAGAATTGGTATGATCGACAGTTGGTCTGAAGCATTTGTATCCCTTTACTGCGGCATTACTCCGAAACAAGCACAAAAAATGTACAAGACCTCATCAAAGTAGTTTCCGTCTTCGAATAAGTAGTTTGAACCAGGTGTTTGCCCTAGGCATTAAGTTAGAAAAGAGACAAAATTTCAAAAAACCTGCCGCAGCATGGGAGATATTCTGAGCTGGTAATGCACCCACAAAACCCGTACATCCTGCTGAGGCACACTCACCGCTGAGTTCGATCTTGTGTGCGATCAATGACAATGCTGTTCACTGTCACCGGTGTTCTTTAAGTTTGCAACCGTGTGGTAGAGCTGCAAAACACTCGCTACTTGCTCATGGCGCGACACTTGTGGGACGAGAACTCAAGACGAGATTTCCCTCGTTCTGTGTGGACTTCTGTCCGTCTGACGTCGGTGAAGCGATAAAAGAAGTTGCACCAAATTCAAGTAACTCGACTAAACCATCAGACCCAAGGGACCACTTGTAAGTGCAGTGGCGCTTGCACACACAGAACACGCTCAACATGAAGATGAGATAAATGAACAGAAAACAAACGTTCGAAACAAACGGGACACACCATTTCCGGGCTACATGCGCCTCAACGTACGCAAAACTGTAGATTTTCCAATCACAGACAATCAGACAAAAAGACATAACTGGATTAGAAACCTCAGTAGTTCCCGAAAAGGGTAAAACTAACCTTGCCAATCGGCACATCGCTCAGCTCCGGCAAGTGGACCCCATAAGAACAAATCCGTCATCTCTAGCCACGGCTTCGGATAGTCTCGCAGTTGAAAACGCCAGCTGTCCACATTCAGACTTATCACGCGGCACCACAATGTACAGAAATCAGATGCCGATAGATTTGGCCATGGGCTAAAATAATAGAACGATAATATGGTCATAACAAACTGGGTAGACAACAACAAAAACAGGGTACCGTGGGAAGGTACCTTCGTGTTGCTTGAAGGAAGCACGATGGCCGGGATACCGCCAGGTCGCCCAAGCCTTGACATGGGAAGTCGAGAGGCAAGGGTCGAGTTAGAACCACGGACCTTCCGATCAGAAAATTCGCGCTCTAACCACTTGAGCCATCTCGCCCATATATGTATATGGTATATGCTGTGTATGCTCAATATTCCGCTCAGGGAATCCTGACCCAGTACATGCTCGGGCATCATTTCGTTGCTGCAGTCAGCTATCGCCGGATATTCGTGACGTTAGAAGCTAAATACCCCCAGATCGCACAGGGCCAAGTTTCGTAACCCAGAATTAAGACCATCTATTGAATCTAACTTGATCTTAAGATGGTTTCCGCATTCATTTGCTTACTGCAGCTGCTTAGCTTATCCGTACCCCCCACTCACTTTGCTGCAGAGGCCGTGCCGTCCGACACTTGTGTATTGGCACGTGTCTGTGTGTGAATGTGCGCAGCTGACCTACTTACCTATTTCCGTTTGCTGACCCTGCCTTGATTTCTTTTCTCAGGAGTTCCGTGTGTTCGCACGGCCAAGGAGTATCACGAAACTGTCCTCGGAAGGGATGACCACAACCCACACTACTGAGCCATCATTCTGATCGCCGTTGTTTGGTATGCAGACGTTGACACTGCGCTGTGCCGGTCAGTGACATACCTGTGCACTTGCTGATGCTACGAACGTGAACTATTGAGGTTTTTTCTGCACATTTGCTTACCCATATGTCAGTAGTACCGCATAATCACGAATCCAATTCTTTCTTCCTTTTGATAGTTGGGAGTGTCAAACCTACGCGTCAAAGTTCCCTATCGCGATACACGACCACTTGGCCTCATTAAAATATGGCACAAGTCCGCACATGTTGCAGACGTTTTGATAAGGCGTGCATTGACTTCATTTGTTACTGTGCCATCAGGGCTAATGCAGATGCCCACATGAGTACGACGATAGAACAAACTAAAGCTCCTCCCCTTGACGTTTCAAGCGGACAATATGGCACAAGTCCGCACATGTTGCAGACGCTTTGATAAGGCGTGCAGTAACTTCATTTGTCACTGTGCCATCAGGGCTAATGCAGACGCCCACATGCGTACGACGATAGAGCAAACTGAAGCTCCTCCTTTTGACGTTTCAAGCGGACACAGGAGTTGAAAAGTCTGTGCCTCGACCCTAGACCGATCAAGAGTGCATTATAGTGAGACAAGTCGACAAGTGATTTCATTCAACTTATCCTGAAAGTATGTGAAGGCAAATTCCCCAACACAGTTTCAAACTTGACCAAGTTCATCGTGACATATGTTGCCCCCCTCCATAAAAGAAGCCCGGTCATTACCCTTGTCGACCATAACCTAATGTGAGACTTCTCAAGAGGAAACTCCTTCTGACGGTAATCAATCCTAGGAAAGAGCCCGCTAAATAATCTCCCCCTTTGAATCTGGAGTATTAGTAATCATAGAGTTTCCTTTCGCCAATGACAGATTCTATCACGTCGAAGAACCCTCTAAAACTCCATACACATGTATTCTCACTCAGTGTCAAAACGGTAGCCAGCGCATTGAAGTGAACATAGCGGAGAACGATAAATCATGGTGCACTTAGAAAGCCTACCAGCATATACACTCACCTGCAGCTATCCAACTGACGAATTTTGTCCACGATTTGCTCCGGTGTGGTAAACGTATAGTCGGTGAGAAGTTTGAGGTGAAGGTTATTCAATGTCCAGGTGAACAGCTCGTTTGTGGAAGGAAATTCCTGTTTGAACTGAGTGTGACGAGTACGGTATTCGGTCAGACGCTGCTCCTCCAATCGAGCGAAACAAGCCATACGTTCAGCCTCTGAGAAAAGTGGATTCAAGGGAGTTTTTTTAGCCGATAGACGTAAAATAAGCAAAAGTACTCAAGACTCAAATAAGGAGTTGCATGTGCGGGCCCATGAGACGGGTGCGATATAAAGTGATGCAGGGACTAATTTTGGTAATCCCGGTCTCAACGTCATCTACCGAACTAGACTATGGGATAGAAACTGGATAACACTATGATCCGATTTGCTACTGACCGCTATTCATGAGTACGCCGTCCAGATGCTGACCACCACAAATGGCAGTCAGAGCCTAGATCCACACGAATACTAAGGGCTACGCTGACATCTGACTGCTCCATATCCTAATCGACGGCACTAATCTAGGCTTTCAATTGCCCTTCGAGGTGGAAGCGCCGCCATGGGTATAAAGAAGGGACCAGTATAAACTTGCAGGACCCACTAACGGGTCCATCGCCGCCGTAGTGATTACCTGGTATGTGTGGCGTTGAAGCAACGTTTAATAATCACGGAATTATTAATTTTGTGGAGCCATCGAGATGTAGCTCAGAAACCGGTGGTAGGAAACGGGTCACAACCTTAAGGATCGGAGTCAGTGCCTAACTGAATACAAGAACTTCCGTGTGCAAGTTCGCCTTATTTCTCCGTCACACAATCTGAGTCTGTGAAAGACGCACTAGATGATGATTAGATGAATCTCGTTTACTTTATTCGTCGCATGCAATGGTAGAACCCAAATACCGAAATGATGAGTGTTCATTCTCGTCATCACCAATGCGGAAGGTTATTCGGTAAATTGGAGGCTCGGGTACGTATTCAGGCTGTTGATCATGTGAATGTTGCTTTGTTGGTTGTCACACCTATCGAGGAGACATCGCCCATGCGTGGTTTGGGCGCGCCGATGATATCTTCTTCACTAGTGAAGAGTTTGCAAGCTAATTACCAAGCTCGGCAAACAGACGAACAAGTAAGAGGATCATTCAATACAGCGGATCAAGTACACGATTCTCCACTCACCATCAACACAAAAAAGAATGAATGACTCACCAGTAAGCCGTAGTCCCGACTGTTGAAGCTGATCATGTAAGGCTGTCACGTTTTGTTCATATTTCACTTGCTCCGCCATGAGGACCTGAAGCATACCAAAATGAAAGCAAAACAAGAGCTGAATCAAAACCAAAGGCTTGGTGACCATAATACACTTATGTTTCTTTAAAGGATTAAGGCTTGAGAATTATTAAAAACAGATTAGGATCACCTGGAATATCGTGCTGCTATGCGACCTCACGCAATACTGACTCAAGAATGAGCATAGTTTGTCCCAAGTGTTTCCTCCCCCAGAGGGGAGCTATATTGTAGCAGCGTGAGATGGCTTTTCCCCGGATAAAACCTACAAAGAAAACCTCCCCCGTTGTTCAAAAGTGTTCGATATGTTCGGTACCTGAAGCATTGCCGATTCACGTAGTGAGATAGCCAGTGACATTCTCAACGAGGGACTCGGTAGCCAAATGAAATTACAGTCCAACATGTGTGCTTTGGTTACACACAAGTGGGGAAATAAGTAAGCTCAAATTACTTGAATGAACGGATTCACAGAAAGTACCCTCCCCCCAAACGGTGAGAGCCATGCGAATATTCGGCTGAGATCTACGGTCTATTGAGTGGAATGTGCGGAATCTCTCATAGCAGTTTATAGTAAGCACCCGGATGGCAATATATCCATTAAACCTCTCTAAAAAAACGCCACCACTCACCATGTAATTGTCATTCAGGCGGCTTTCAAACGGATCGTCCTCGACCTCCACCACGAGCCGCTAGAGCAAATAGGGAAAAATATTTACTACTGGTAAAGACAAAAGTAGCTAGAGAGCGGCACGACAAATATAGCCGGATACTATCCGATACCTGAAATTGGAAGATGTAATCGGATCGGAGAGGCACCGAAGTGTGGTTCCGTCGACCAACACCCGAACTAGGTTGGCATAGGGAGGAAGGTACAGCGGGTGTTGGAAGAGTCCGAGTGCAGGAATGATAGATGTTGGAAACGACCGACTCGGAAGTGGGCAGGCGGTAGCTGACGTCAGATTTATCGCTCAATCCAGGAGAGCAAACCGTGGAGTCCTCGCGCAGCAAGGAAGAAGACGAGTTCAGTTGACGTAAGAATCTCACGAGGGATGTAGCCTAGAATGCAATACACCAAAGTATGAGTGGATAGAAGGGATATAACAGCACGATAAGTCAAGACGAGTGATTGTATCAGATGCCCACAATGAGGCTCCAGAGTGGAAACCGTTCAACCAAGAACGGATTGTGTGACAAGACCAACACTTTCCCCGATGCAAAGCAGACGTGAAAAACAGCTGCACTGAAAACAGCCTGTGTTGGAGCGATCAATGAACGAGAGGTCAGTACAAGCACATCTCAACATAGTCGTGAAACAAAACTGTGCTCACCTGAAGATAAGCCTCCCGAAATTTGTAACGGTAAGGAAATGTGATCAAGCAAACGTCAGCACGTGTCTCCCTGCAAAAAAATCAATAGCCCCAGACGAATTGCAATAAAACATGGGAAAACAAAATGTGTTAGAGTGAAAAGATCAAGCACGAACTAGAAAATGTCAACTTACCAGGCCCAATTGGACTTAGCGTACCATGCTTGTTTCGCAAAATCCGTCCGATATTGAGCTGTTGGAGCGCGTTGACGCATGTTAAAGTTCTGTGAAAAGAAGATAATTGCAAGTCAAGAGACCACTTTCGAAGAAACGTGAATAGCGAACGGAGTTTCTGTAGCCTAGAACGGTTTGGGCTGGAGAGCCTAAGAGATAAGAAAGTCTATAAAAAAGTTGGTAGGACAACTACATTTGTTTGTCACATTTCACATGTACCATCAGCTCTATCCTATTTTGTCCGGAACGTCCAACCCGATCAACTACCTGATGACGTCAAGACAGTCGAACGCTGCACAATTTTGAGTTATGAAACTTTGTGTGTGCGCAAGCACATAGCTATAAGCTGCCACAATAGGATAAAAAACATCAAATGCATGCAAATCATAGTATCGAAAACAGCGCGGCAAATTTGGGTAGATGAGTTACAACACACTGGACAAGGACGTCACCTCGACTACACATCTGCGAAGCCCGCGTGGACTGTGTTATCCCATTCAGGACGTTTAAATGAGATGAAAAGGTAGAGACAGACCTACAGTGTTTGGGTCTGGTCGTGGTGAAGATGACGGTAGTATCGGCCAAAGCAGATGCAGTTCAGATGTGATCGCAAAGATTACCGCTGAAGATAACGCCCAACTAACCTAGTACGGATCAAAGTGAGCTCCTGGAATCGTGAGGCTGGGAGTTCAAAAAGCAGGCACGATGATCGATTCGGCAAGAGCGCCCCCGATGAATTGAAAAGGCGGTGGTAAAGGATGAAAAGGACTTTGAAAATTAGTATTCCCAGCACCAAATCCCTAGGGAATGATGAATGTGGATTTCCGGTTATTGCCTTCACCCATCCTCGTGAAATTCAGCGTCAAGATACTTCGTGGAAGACTATATTGGAGTCAGATAATTGTGTGATATCCACAAAGGGAAAGTTACCCACAGCTGAAAAACTATGCACATTCACAATAAGGATAATTTCGAGGAGAGTCCACTTCCTTGAGAGGTCCACACCAGCGTCACTGTTGGCCACGAATCCACATGTGATTCTTCCGAACAGAGGTTACGTATCCTCAAGAGATCTCTCCTAGGGGAAGGCGCATCGTATCAAGCCAGATCCAGGTAACACAGAGAGTGAGTCGTGAGCCTATAACCGAAAGGTCAGTGGTTCAGGTGCAAGCGTCACGTCAAATTGGTCGTCCCAGTCCTGTGGTCTCTTATGGGACAGACTATTTTTGGAATTTTCGGATTCCTGATGGGCCTATCGCTGAATTCCTCAGAAATGGGAACGCCTCGTCAAGTCGGAAAAGGGATTTCATACACAATCCCATATGATCCAACCCCCTCCCCCCACAAAAAATAGCAGGGTGGGAAGTGGAGGGTATTTCTTACCTAATATCCCACAGTTCCTCATTCCGACTAGCGAACGTATGGGAGAATAGGTTCCTGATGCAAACACACTAAAATAATATTCTGTTCCGACAGTAAACTATGAAGATGAATAACCAGTTAAACAGCAATCACGCTTCAAACCGATCCATTGCATCTCCAGTCTGTGTGATACGACAGTTATACAAAGCCCCTGTGTACGCTACTGATCAGTAGCTGGAGCGAAATACGCTATCCCCGTTTCTGCATGCGCGTATGTTGACAAGAGTTTCCGTTATGATATTCCGTCCCTGAAGTCTGTTTTAACTTGTCTCTTCCGAGCAACAGCACACATAGTGTTGCCCGAGGTAATGTCCGCCTGAGTTTTGGAGGCCTCATTATTCGGATATCCGCAATGCACCAAAACCAGCCGAATTGCAACCATCCCTTGACAACCGCACAGAGAGAGAGGGAAAAATCTGTTTTCTACAGTTTTAGTTTAGTTTAGATAAGTTCAGTTCAATTGGGCGAGATGGCCCGTCCGGTTATTGCCTTCACCCATCCTCGTGAAATTCAGCGTCAAGATACTTCGTGGAAGACTATATTGGAGTCAGATAATTGTGTGATATCCACAAAGGGAAAGTTACCCACAGCTGAAAAACTATGCACATTCACAATAAAGATAATTTCGAGGAGAGTCCACTTCCTTGAGAGGTCCACACCAGCGTCACTGTTGGCCACGAATCCACATGTGATTCTTCCGAACAGAGGTTACGTATCCTCAAGAGATCTCTCCTAGGGGAAGGCGCATCGTATCAAGCCAGATCCAGGTAACACAGAGAGTGAGTCGTGAGCCTATAACCGAAAGGTCAGTGGTTCAGGTGCAAGCGTCACGTCAAATTGGTCGTCCCAGTCCTGTGGTCTCTTACGGGACAGACTATTTTTGGAATTTTCGGATTCCTGATGGGCCTATCGCTGAATTCCTCAGAAATGGGAACGCCTCGTCAAGTCGGAAAAGGGATTTCATACACAATCCCATATGATCCAACCCCCTCCCCCCACAAAAAATAGCAGGGTGGGAAGTGGAGGGTATTTCTTACCTAATATCCCACAGTTCCTCATTCCGACTAGCGAACGTATGGGAGAATAGGTTCCTGATGCAAACACACTAAAATAATATTCTGTTCCGACAGTAAACTATGAAGATGAATAACCAGTTAAACAGCAATCACGCTTCAAACCGATCCACTGCATCTCCAGTCTGTGTGATACGACAGTTATACAAAGCCCTTGTGTACGCTACTGATCAGTAGCTGGAGCGAAATACGCTATCCCCGTTTCTGCATGCATGCATGTTGACAAGAGTTTCCGTTATGATATTCCGTCCCTGAAGTCTGTTTTAACTTGTCTCTTCCGAGCAACAGCACACATAGTGTTGCCCGAGGTAATGTCCGCCTGAGTTTTGGAGGCCTCATTATTCGGATATCCGCAATGCACCAAAACCAGCCGAATTGCAACCATCCCTTGACAACCGCACAGAGAGAGAGGGAAAAATCTGTTTTCTACAGTTTTAGTTTAGTTTAGATAAGTTCAGTTCAATTGGGCGAGATGGCCCGAATGGTTAGAGAGCGAATTTACTGACCGGAAGGTCTGTGGTTCGAACCCGACTTCTGCCTCTCGAGTTCCCCTGTCTAGGCTTGAGCAACATGGCTGTATCGCAGCCCTCGTGCAACCTTCGGGTGGTATGGCAGCTAGGCATCGAAAGGGTGCTACAGCTGAACGATTTTTTTCAGTTCAATTCAGATGGTTATACGACGCAACAGAAGAGCTACTCACACTTCGTAGGTTACGCTGGTTAGGACAAGTACTTTGCACGTCATAGGGCCGTCAAATTCACAGAGCTCCTGTTCTGAGTCGAAACGTCCGACGATCTATGAAATGGCAACGAAATTTGAGGGTACTGACCCTTAAACTCAGTCGGGTTGACAAGTGCCGCTTCCCTAGATGGGAATCAAGGGATTGGAGTCACCAACGCTTAATAACACTGGTAGACATGGTTTACTCAAGCGGTCTGTGGTGCTCTTGCATCAAAGCTATCCACCTCAATGCGTAACTGTCCAGTTTCCCGAACTAACTGATCATGCCATCGTCTCTAGTGTTTGGCTAAATCTCCCAAGCTCTCCTATTTTCCTGTGACCAAAACCGTAGTGGCTAAAATCAGCTTACACTTAGTACTTTTATGGCTGACACACTGGACTAAAACTGGCAAGGCCTTTAAAAATCAAGGATCTCTAAGTGACTACTCGATAACCAATTGAGTTCCTCCTTAAATATCCATGCTTTATAAGCTAGTCACAGGACAAATGCACCTGTTGCTGTGGCCTATTCGGACATATATCCACAGAGCCCTTGAATAAGAGGTACTCCTCACCTACGGACATGGTTTCTCCCAATAGACAACCTTTATTTTGGCCGCAGGGGTACCATGGCTAAATGACCCGAGTTTTTTTTAATTTCAGGGACAAAAAGGCACACAAGTATTGCATCATACAATCTGTGGACCGTTTTCATCATCTTTTAATGGTACCCTGCCATCCCTTTGCTCACCTGCAAAGCGAATATCCTCACATCGTCGCACTGCACGTAGGCTGTAGTACAGGTGAGTTTAAAACGACTGGAACCAAACTGCTGATGGGCGACCAGCTGGGTTGTCGAAGGCGAGGATGATGGAAATGGAACCAGTCGTACGTCAATATTTTGCAAGGAGAAAGTCAAATGATGCTCAGGAGTTACTAGCTGCACAAGGCATTGCACCATTGTCGGAAAATTGGCGCGTATAGTCCAGACGGCAGTGGTGAGTGGGCGAGTTAATGTTACTTCAGGTGACCGAGTTTTCTGAAACGTCAATAAGGAGGTGGATCAATTTATTAGAATAACAATCAAAGGTAAATGGGGTTAGAATGGGACACCAGGTCCATAGAGTTTTGGCTCGCGCAGAATAAAAAACAATGGGTCACTGATGAGGCTGTTGAACACAGAACGAATTTATCGCCATGACCGTTTCGATCAGGACATTACTTCGTGAAGACCGTTTTTCAATTTCAAATTTCACTGCGAAGTAGATGAGGAACTCCGTCGTACAGATGGCCTCCAGCGTGCGATGAAGGACAACCTGATGGGGCAGTATGTAGATTGATATGAACAAAGATTGTGAACAATGTTCGTTTTCAGTTACTGGTCTTCCTGGCTAACGCATGAGAGATATGACACTGAACAAGCGCTACCACTGTCAAAAATACGTTAAGGCGAATAGGTCAATGCGTCAAAGTGAAACTACAGCTTGCGAAGGTTGAACAGACTGAAAGCCGACATGAATTCAACGAGCGCACAATTTGCCTTGGAACACAAGGTGTGGGTGAGGTAGCCGGATTCTGAAAACCTCTGCGTTCAATGTCATATCGAAATTCAGGCGACCGCTAAATTTATGTTGTCCCACGTGCCATGCCGGTTCAACGCACTGCCCCGACTGTGGATCAGTTACCCATTGACCAAGGCACTCTGTCTCGCCTGTTTGCAAAAAGCTGTTGTGTTCCATTCCGGCACTAAAGCACTGGATCGTGAACAACAGTCAGATAATAACAGAACGACATGATATGCAATTCCAACCAGGTGGATGACTATGAAGACTGCTCTGTTCAGAAGATGGGCAACCGTCAACCCGAAAGCGTAACCATCAACAAAATATTCGGCTATAGAAGGCTACAGAATTCAGGTGGAACAAATCTGAACCCTGCTAAGCGTTCTTGTCCTTGATATAAGGCCTGCAATAACGCTGTAGACAAAGATCCGACAGCGACAGAACTCAGCTACGACTACAGTTGAACATGCAGTTGAAACACGCAGTGAGGCAACAAAAAGAGAAGGATCAACAGTCCAAATGCAACAAAGGTAGACGAGCATAGGAAACAAGTATGTGGATAAAACGTGAGTAGTGAGCACCTGGGAAGGGTGTAAATTCTCCAGTGACCAAGGAGTAGTGAGCACCTGGGAAGGGTGTAAATTCTCCGGTGACCACCACGAGTAGAGGGGCCAAACACGAGCACTGTAAAGCATAGCTTCCCTGATACACAAATGTCCCGCTGGGGTCCAAGTACAATTCACAGGTTCCGGGCACGTAATTGAAATCAACTGAAGGGGAGAAGGGAGAAGTTCTTGGAAAGAGTAGTGTGCAGCACAACAGAAATAAACAGATTTATGAAGGCCTAACGCCCCGAGACTAGAACTCTCCGGTCTAAATCATGCATTGCGTGCACATGTCATTAGCAGAGTCACAGATTTTTGTTGTGTCATACACACCCAACTATCGGTTGAACTAAGAAACTTAGAGAGTTGTCAGATTCATTGCACTTTTCCAGCAATTTGCTGAAAATAAAACCAAGAGACGTGAACTTATGTTTCCATTTCCAACCGATATTAACACAAGCGGTTCAGAGAANCCAGGTTTTCTTCTATGCATTCTGAAAGAGGCAGAAACTATTTACCGTATACCGTGTAACAACTGATGCTATTGATATATTGCTCATGTGTGTTGTGATCATAAATTACCGAATTAGTCGTATTAGGAGGCGGCAAACGCATTATTATCAGCTACTGCGTCCGATGTGTAGCTATCTACTCGTATTTTCCTAAATCATCGGTGGCGGTCATGATCATTGCACTTGGTTTACAGTTGAAGAATAAACTCAGCTTGCTATCGGTGACCGAAGACTTGTGGTAAGCAATCGAGCCTCGCAGATTTCAGGTTCCATCATCATTGCACTTGGTTTACAGTTGAAGAATGAACTCAGCTTGCTATCGGTGACCAAACACTTGTAGTTTTTCGTGTCTAAGCAATCAAGCCTCGCAGATTTCAGGTTCCATTATAGGCACGTTAGTTGGTCCAAATGAAGCAAGATCTAAGTTCTTCTGCCTCACTTTTACATAACTCCTATTGTCAGAAAAGTTACTGATAGTGTAATCAATTGCAATCCACATTTTCTAATCGATAAACAATGTAAAATCCATACCATTCCATATTCATCTCGAATTAGAGATAAAAAGTTCAGAGGCGAAAGTATGGACAAAAACGAACCATGTCTTTCCGGCTGACGTCAAAATTCACAATCGGTATCCGAAGGAGTTGGTATCTGTTATCAACATTGATGGAAGATGATGTCGGTGTGTGCATACTTGTTGTGTATGCGGTCTCAGTTCCCTGGAAATGCCTGGCTGTTCCAATGCTACGAACGCGAATGGGCAGTGTGTTGTAGGTAAATGAGGTTTCACTGAGTGAGGCCGCAATTGTGAATATCAAACCAGATGAGTCAGTGACCACTGGGAGCAAGCTTGTGTCGGGTCGGGTAGTGGCAATTGAAGAGTCAACAGTGATGACCGACTGAAGTAAGATTCGGTCGACCTGACACTGAATTAAAGCTGTAGAAAGTGGATAGAAAGTTTTGTAGACGCTGCTGTGCAAACAAGAATCTCGTGAGTAGCTGCAGTGTACAGAGCAAAAGCCCCACCAGCCATACCGTCTAGAACACAGACAGATAGAGGGTCCGCAGGAACTACTTCGGAAAGCTGTGACAGTACGGTTCCTCGCAAGTCATGAAAATCAGAAGTGATCAGGATTTCTTACATATATTCCAACACTTTACTTGAGATGGTTTGTCAGCGATACAATTCCACTGGGCGAGATTCAATTTGGCATCAGATAGCTCGAAATTGCTTCAGAAGTGACCGACTTAATGCTATGGGCGTCATCAACTTATCGAATCCAATGACTGTAAAGCGGTTTTTACGCATTGCATCGAAGAAACAAGAGGAAGGCCACTAGTCCATCAACGAGTAGAGCACCAGAGCAATCTGGTCCGACAGTATCAGTGAACAGTTTGATTATCTAAAGAAACCACCCTGAGAGAACCAATCTTACTGGGCTTTTTAGAGCGTTTTCAGTGCACCGGTTCCCTTTAGCAGACAAGATCTCTTCAGTTTCCCTTAGCAAGGGAGACAACTATATCCGAGCCTTGCTGTCTGGCTACACGTCAGCAATTTCACCATCGTTCATGCGATCTAAAAAAGAAGCTACGCTACTTAACTAAACTCATGTATGAAAAGAAATAGGTGGTCACCTCTTCTCGCTCGGATCGGCAGGTCAAAAGTATGCAATTGGGTCAAGACGATCCCACGAAAAAAGGTTTGTTTGATGTTTCCGCAATTAAAAGGTCGAAAATATTAAGAATACAACACTGTACTTGTATAGTAGAATCTCACGGAACGCTACAGTTCAGCTTGTAGGTTGGCTTTCTATCTTCCTAGTTCGCGGGTAACTTTTATCCCTTTAGCAGTTAGTCATCTGATTTTCAACAAACTCACCACCGTTAGTGCTTAAAATGAAGCCATCCATCTGCTCAAACTGTCCTGTAATATTGATAGGATCATGCAATACTTGTGACCAGTGCTCTACGGTAATCGATCGCTGTCGGACAGGCAGAGGGAGATTCACAGATTCTGTCGAAATACGGGATGGAGGCCAAGATAGAAATGACTGCCATCCCATTGACAATCGAGATAATCCTTCACAGAAGCTCAGTATGTCTGTTGAACACCACTCGCATTGAAGGCCTTTGATGTGAAAGTCCCACTGACGGTCGTTCAGCTGTGAAAAGAGTTGAGAAAAAGGTGGGGTAAATGTCGGTAATTTTCCGAAATACGAGAGACCTTACAGTCTGTTAAAAGCAGGGATACTTCTGAGTAGAGCATGACTGATCATACTTTACTACCGTATTCGAGCTTCTGATGTTTTAAGATGTCCCGGTAATACAATGACCTGCAATGTAATGACCTGAGAATAACCAAAAGGAGCATCAACCGCTTCCAGGAAAAAATATCAGGTCAGCGCCGGAGAGCTTATTTGTTCAGTCCCAGCATCAGAAGGAGTCGCTTCATAACCAAGCACACTGCTCCTGTTAAAACACCGATGACCAAGCTTTTGATTCAAGGCTGAATCGAAATTCGGTGACAAGACGGGATGAAGGCCGAGGTGTGGACGGAACCACGTGAAAATTCAGCGACAATCCTCAGACAGGCTTCAAGTGTTGTTTCCACTATACGTCCGACATAAGAAAAAAGGCACAGGTCAACTTGTTGTCCAAAAGACCTTACCGCCGGGACCTATCTAAAGCAAGGATAGCACTAATGCTAGCATTCCAGATCATCAACAGACTGTTGAAAGGGGATTTGTTCCCCTGTTCGACGGATTTTCCTGTCAGTGCAGAAATATGGCTATGCGATCAGCTACAATCGCAAGTCGAACCTGTTCCCAACATTCCTCGCCTTGTTCGCCAAACTCGATCGAGTGCATCCGCGTGTGGCGCAGGTATGTATCCACAACTGGTTACCAGGCTGGGTTAAATAAGCCTCAATCGTCGCGCGTCCCACGGTACGGTACTGTTCAAGTGTGGTTGTGAGATGTGGTGCGGGCTCTGGTAGCCGACCTGCCAGAGTGATGGACCCTAAAAGCTGGTGAATGAAGATGAACCGCTTATCGAACCTATCGTAACATGAACCCTCGATGATGCTTTCATCATGACTAAAGATAAAGATAAAGCGTTCACCTGTAGCACCCTTCCGGTGCCTAGCTGCCATGCCACCCGAAGGGAGCACGAGGGCTGGGATACTGCCAGGTTGCCCAAGCCTAGACAGGGGAAGTCGAGTGGCGGAGGTCGGATTCGAACCGCGGACCTTCATGACTACGGTTATTTGCTTCATATATAGTAGCATAATACAGCAATGGGCGGCATGGCTAGAAGTGTTTACACTGTAGCTTAGCCAAAGTACTCTCACAATCAGTCCCACGACTACATTGCTTTTGCCCCGAAAACTCGAACGGTATTATTCGAAAGCTTAGCGCAACTCTGCCCATTGTTTCCCATTTACTAGAAGAGAGCCAGAAGAAAAAACTGGACGCTAAGAATGTTCCGCCACAAACCGAGTTATAAAGATTCGCAACCGTAACTTTCTACCATTCAACTTCCACTATTCACCTAACAGAGGCTGATCATCACTTGACATATACTCCCATATGACATGGGGCCACTAATCTCTCATTCGCGCGGTTAACAGAGAAGGTATCGTGGTTCCTGTTTCTATTATTCCAATCACTGGTGATGCGACTGAAATATAACTGTGAATTGACGTCAAACAGAACTGCCCCTCTATCCGAAATGGGAGTAGAAAACGTGCTCAAGTGTATGACGGAGTCATCTGTAGCAGTTTTGACAAATGGAATAAGCGGATCCGTCGATGCATCCAAACAAGAGAGGAACACTTCTGCCCGTAGCCTGAAAGTTATCAGGGCTGCGTACTGAAATCTGAAACCTTAGCTCAATGTCACAGTGCAACAACAAACTTCCGAATGGCTGAATCTTGCTTAATTTTCCAGCGAGTAAAACGATTAGTATTAGGCACAAAGAAACGATTCTGAAGGTCGTTGCTTACCTGTACACTCAGACTGACGAAGCTGAAAACATGTCCCCAAAGATGAGCGCCTGATCGCGGCAAACGAGCACATATATCGTGGAAGCGGCCAAGCGGATTGCGATCCATCAGAAGCTGACTTGGGTTTGTGTTCAAACATCTGGAGAATGAGAAGGGCCTGTAGTTCACCGGCTCGGGAGAGAAGGCCAGGTGAAGACCAGTGAGTTGGAAGTTGGTGTCCATATGAAACAAAGCTGGCAGCCATTCTGAAACGACGGGGAATGGATAGTCAGATGGGCGTACAGAATGAAACAGAAACCAGATGTTGATCCGAAGTGCAGTTAGCCAACTTACCGGATGAGTCGACACCGAGCGGCGGGCAGCTGAAATTTGTCCCAAACCTGTCCAGTCCGAGCTGGAGGCCTGGACGGGTTACATCAGAAAAGAGGAGGAAAAACACCTGAAACGGAGAGGAGAATGAACAGGGGAGAATTACACTCATGCACACGTGCACACCAAAGTCACAGCGCTAAGACACTATACGGAAGAAAGGAGAAGCAGCACACAGCCGCTTCATGTTTATCGGAAATCATCAGCGGCACACATCCATGGAAAATTCGAACCCCATACCCATAAAGTTTGAACACACTATTATTCATCTACGGGATTCAGAGATAACTTTGCGTCTCGACATAAATAATAATTGTTCAGCTTTACAGCTCTTGTGATGAAATTTCATGTTGACTGGCTTCCTGACTGGTGACTCCTGAGACTCGCGGTTCACATAACTGAACTACACAACAATGTCCATACCATTGTTCTTGCCAAGTCGAAAACAGGTTCGGTCCAAGGTGAAGAGAAGTGAGCACACGGAGTGCATGCACCACAAGTAATAAGTTGCACAACCAAATCGCTACTGAAGCCTATAGCAGCACCCGAAAGATTCACAAGTGTTTTACACTGCAGTTGCTAAATGTATGAAGACAGTGGAGGGAGGATTCCGGGAAGCGTAGCTCTATAATGGATCCCAGTTTCTCCCGGCTTATTCTTAGAATGAGGGGGGATTCCGGGAAGCGTAGCACTATAATGGATTCCAGTTTCTCCCGGATTATTCTTGAAATATCTACAATATCTTCATAAAGGAAGCTACCCACAATGTTGCTGAAAACAGCCCACGACCGGTTTCGCCCTTCTTGGGGCTCATCAGGTAGGCACAGTCCCTGAGTTTTCGTCAACATTATATTCGACTTGAACCCAAATTGGACTGTTTTTGAGAAATACACTCATTTGCAAGTCAATTTGGTTTTCACGAAAGACTCAACTGAATCTCTCGTTTATGATACTCTACAACTGAATGTGCTGCACACAGGCCACCTCATGTTTCAGTTGGCATCGAGATATCGCAGTATATTTTCATAAAGGAAGCTACAATATCTACATATATTCCGCAGGAGAGTCAATTTTGCATCGATTCACAACAAAGGTTTACAACGTCCTGAGAAGTATCGACCGCTGTGACCAGAGCAGCTGTTTTCCGTCAACTTAAATCGTGCACAGAGGGACATGAGGCAGTCGTTTCTCAATTATGTTCGTTGAAATTTGACGATAAGCAAGCCTGACAAGGGTACATGGCCGGTTTGATGACGTTCTTCAAACGGTTCATCGAGCAATTGATTCCAGTTCACCAGTAACGTCCAATCTGGTGCTGTTGCAAACAGAGTTGCAACACAAAACCCAGATAACAGTAGACCTATACTGCCGCAGAAAAAAAACAACTAAAGTAGGCAGTACAGTAACGAAAAATACAATACAACCAGGACATGTGGACCGAACAAAGAAAGATCACTTACCGGTGGTATTTTCTCATCAGGAGTGAAATTTTCCTCGAAATTAGTCGACGCGGCCATGCGAAACGGTGAACAGCGGCCCTCACGTTGGATGGGTTTCGAGGACTCCATCCCAGCTGCCAGATCGGTTCCACCATGTAGGCGGACCTGGATGGCTAGCCTGCGTTTACTCAGTCCCAGAAAGCGAGTCAACTTCTTCCAGACACCTGGTTCAGTCTGAGCAGTTTACAGTAGGAAAAGGGGTGATAAATTAAATTAATAATACAGGAAAGGACTCTGTTTTTGCTATAAACTAGTACATATCAGGCTCGGAGGCCCCAATCCAACCGAAGGCGAGAGATTGGCAGTGTGCCACGCGGTCAAGCCTGCCCGGCTGAGAGTTTTCCGAACAGTTATGGAGTGCGCATGAACCAGAAACGTACGTGCGAACAATGTGACTGGTTCAATCAAGGTTGCTGCCTCCGATGAACATTAACCTCAACCTACAAATCTCGGTGAGTCTTGTGAACACAGCTCTGAGCTACACATCGGGGAAAGTTGGCAGTGAGCTCTCCTTATGTATCGTCCGAGGAAATTGGAATAATTACGAAAACAAATGGTCAGGCAGAAATTCTTGTGTACCAACACTGACAGTAACACCGATGCAGAACATTGTTACTTCAATGCCGCACAACGTCAATCCATTAAAATGAGGCTTAACAATGAAAACAACGAGCTCGGAAAGGAACGCCATGAGCATCCGGTCATAGGCGCGTCTTTCAGCAACATCAGCCGCCTACAGAGAGGGCCTCTTGCGCCTCATTCCGAAAGGCGGATCGTACCTATAATGCGGAATTTACCTTCATTTTCTCCCTTTGTGATACATCCATGCATACAGTGTGGAAAAGATATTGCAAATAAACTCGAATAATATCCTGTCTTGCCATCCACATTAGTGAACCACCTGGATTACGTGAAGTTAACCGTGGCCGAACAGAGTAACATTCAGCGTGTAACAACTTCAAACGGACTTGAGAGCAGAAACAACTTATTAGATTGTCCTTACTGAGATGCCAACTTCATCGTTAGGTATTTCATCAAAGAGACGTCAATCCGAAAGGCGACTACGGATGGGCAACAACGTCGAACAGAACGAGTGATCATGTGACAGGAGGCAGGACTAGGTCAGTGTCATAGCAAGCAGCAAGTGAGTTGATTGTTTTTGTGCACACAAAACAGGGGCTTTACTCAGAGGCAATGGTTCGGAATGCGTTAGAGGGTGAATGATTGATTCCGACAATCAGATGACTTGTTGGTTGTGTCAATCGACGAAGATGCGTTAAACTCGCTGCTGTCCACCACAGCAGGTAGTTTAGTAGATGCTTGGCTAGTTTCGGCGATATTTTGGCCTTGTTTTTCCACATAATTGTCACCCTGTAGGCATGTCAGTAAACGAAGTTGTCGGCTTAAGACTGTATACACTAGAACAGAAGTGCATTGGCGAGCAAAGACACTAACCGCCAAAGCTTTGGACGCAGTGCCATGCAGAAATAGCAAATGCGGTTCGATATGAGCAGACGCTTAGCCTGACCGACAGTTGAGGATGGTCTATGATACAGTCATTAGAATTCATTCGATGGCCATCTGCACCTGCACGTATACCCTGCCCATTTTCCCCGTCACTATATCAGATTAGCTGCTAGCCACTGTTTATCCAATCAGCTCTCTTCTGAATCGAACAAATGATGTGAAGCTAGCACCTCTGGGAAAACCGACAGCTCCACTACCCAAAATACAATGCCCGTCTAGAAGACATTTGCTTGAAGATTTTTCAGGTACGCTGTTTCAACAGCGTACCGAAATTCCGTTGCTGTGGCAAGCAAACAGCTATACCGAGCAACAGGAAGTGTGTGGACGTGTGATGACGACCGAAAAATGGCGAGCTACCATTTGGGAGGCCGTTCTGTGTCTCCCGAGACATCCCACACATCCCACTGTGGTGTCCAAGGTTGACGCATCAAACAACCAAGTTACGGTGCTTCCTAGATGTGCCCATACAGATCCGATCATAGTCAACTGATGACAAGTTTCACGTACAGAGTATTTGTGTTGGAGTGAAAAACATGGCAGCCAGTACTTTCTCGTTTAATGACTTTGACCGATGCGACTGATTTGTGTTGTCCACACCGAAGAAGTGGAGTTTCACGTTCAGTAAATTGCATCACACACGCGATCGTAAACAGAGGTTCAACTTCGGCTGCCTAGCATGCTACATAAGCTTAGCTGACAGCCAGTTCAGTAGAGCAGGTTGGATACATCCAGCTCATCCTGACGTTGATCCTGATCGGATGCCCAGCTAGTGTGCTAGTGATACATCCATGCATACAGTGTGGAAAAGATATTGCAAATAAACTCGAATAATATCCTGTCTTGCCATCCACATTAGTGAACCACCTGGATTACGTGAAGTTAACCGTGGCCGAACAGAGTAACATTCAGCGTGTAACAACTTCAAACGGACTTGAGAGCAGAAACAACTTATTAGATTGTCCTTACTGAGATGCCAACTTCATCGTTAGGTATTTCATCAAAGAGACGTCAATCCGAAAGGCGACTACGGATGGGCAACAACGTCGAACAGAACGAGTGATCATGTGACAGGAGGCAGGACTAGGTCAGTGTCATAGCAAGCAGCAAGTGAGTTGATTGTTTTTGTGCACACAAAACAGGGGCTTTACTCAGAGGCAATGGTTCGGAATGCGTTAGAGGGTGAATGATTGATTCCGACAATCAGATGACTTGTTGGTTGTGTCAATCGACGAAGATGCGTTAAACTCGCTGCTGTCCACCACAGCAGGTAGTTTAGTAGATGCTTGGCTAGTTTCGGCGATATTTTGGCCTTGTTTTTCCACATAATTGTCACCCTGTAGGCATGTCAGTAAACGAAGTTGTCGGCTTAAGACTGTATACACTAGAACAGAAGTGCATTGGCGAGCAAAGACACTAACCGCCAAAGCTTTGGACGCAGTGCCATGCAGAAATAGCAAATGCGGTTCGATATGAGCAGACGCTTAGCCTGACCGACAGTTGAGGATGGTCTATGATACAGTCATTAGAATTCATTCGATGGCCATCTGCACCTGCACGTATACCCTGCCCATTTTCCCCGTCACTATATCAGATTAGCTGCTAGCCACTGTTTATCCAATCAGCTCTCTTCTGAATCGAACAAATGATGTGAAGCTAGCACCTCTGGGAAAACCGACAGCTCCACTACCCAAAATACAATGCCCGTCTAGAAGACATTTGCTTGAAGATTTTTCAGGTACGCTGTTTCAACAGCGTACCGAAATTCCGTTGCTGTGGCAAGCAAACAGCTATACCGAGCAACAGGAAGTGTGTGGACGTGTGATGACGACCGAAAAATGGCGAGCTACCATTTGGGAGGCCGTTCTGTGTCTCCCGAGACATCCCACACATCCCACTGTGGTGTCCAAGGTTGACGCATCAAACAACCAAGTTACGGTGCTTCCTAGATGTGCCCATACAGATCCGATCATAGTCAACTGATGACAAGTTTCACGTACAGAGTATTTGTGTTGGAGTGAAAAACATGGCAGCCAGTACTTTCTCGTTTAATGACTTTGACCGATGCGACTGATTTGTGTTGTCCACACCGAAGAAGTGGAGTTTCACGTTCAGTAAATTGCATCACACACGCGATCGTAAACAGAGGTTCAACTTCGGCTGCCTAGCATGCTACATAAGCTTAGCTGACAGCCAGTTCAGTAGAGCAGGTTGGATACATCCAGCTCATCCTGACGTTGATCCTGATCGGATGCCCAGCTAGTGTGCTAGTGAAAGGAAAAAGGCTTTCGCCGCGGAGTTATTTATTATGCCATGCCAACTGTACATTTACAGACTATTGGACAGGGAAGCAAAACTCTCATATGCACCTTGTTTACTAAAACTGAATACCCATCTTTGAACGGAAAAAGGCTTTCGCCGCGGAGTTATTTATTAGCAAATGCCAACTGTACATTTACAGACTATTGGACAGGGAAGAAAACTCTCAATATGCACCTTGTTTACTAAAACTGAATACCCATCTTCTCTTTGAACGCGTCTTCCTGAACTTTCCTGGATATTCATTGACCGTTGCTCAAATCCAAGCGAATGCTACAAAAAGTGACTCCACAAATTCCGCAATAGATCTCACTTTTCAGGAGACGCAAAGCGGACTTACGAGAAAACATACTACTCTCGTGCCTCCCCATCAGTAGTATCACCGTTAAACCGGTAGTAATAGTCGAATAGCTCCTCAGATCATCGTAGTATACGGAGAGCTAGGATTGGTGACCTTTACCGAACTGGAACGTCCTTAACTCAGAAATCGTTAGGAACAAATAGGAGTAGGGAGGAAGGAAGGAGTTATTTCGGAAACTGTAGACCGAGGGAAAAAGCAAACAAGATAGCTGGGTCGAAACTTACAGACAGACAAGACCGATCCAATCCGCCACCGGATACGGGATCCCCAGAAGCAAAGCGTGTCACAGGCGTAGCTAGCTCAAGCCCCAGCGCCATAGGAAGACTGTGTTTAAGCATTCCAGCATGTCGACCGACGTGAGCCCAGCTGGTCTGGTAATACCGAGACTCGGTCTGGCATTGTTCATCCAACCATACGCAGGTGAGCCACACGATATGAATGAGCTGGACAAGAAACTCAGCTTCTGATGGGCTGTGAACATAGGCTGCGTGCACTTGGCCAACGGACAAGTTCATAAATGAAGTGAACAAGGTGCGCTAGGGAGGGGGAATAGAACATGTCAGTTGGTATGGTAAGTATCCGAAAAAGTGATAGACAACAAGTTCATAACGCAAAGTTACCTTATGAACAGCGGCTATATAGCAAACACGTGGAGATACCACCGACCAACTCCAACCGCATGGTTGGATTTCCGGGCAACACAAGAGACAACTGCAACTGTAGAGCACAGTCCATTTGGTAAGTAAGGTGGTCCCGATCAATAGTGAACAGTCTAGAAACTACCGATATGCCCGCATTTCTTTTCTACCGTCCTCTTTAAAGAAGAAAACGATGTTATACTGTCCCAGTCGCGTTCACTTAGAGGTAGCGGAAAGAAAATGCATCATCGCTGGTATGAGGACCGTCTCATCTTTTCACAACACGTCAGAACTCTTCCGTTGTTGCAACGACATGAACGAAACACAGACTAACTCCAGGAAAGGTAGCAGACTTACCTGATGTGTCAGGTCTAATGAGCCTAGCCGGAAGTCCACAACACAACAGTTCCGCTCGTTTTGCCAGCCACTGGTGAGATGAAAGTCAACCAACTGAAAGAACCCAGTGAGAGTAGCTGAAGTTATATCACCAATGCTATTGCCACCACAAGGCGATTGATCGCAAACCCCGGTAAATGCGGGTGATGGCAAGCGGAGCGGTGAAGCCGGTCGGTCACTATGCGCCAGAAATCGGAGCGACTCCGCTAAACGGAGACGTTTGGGGCGGCGGAAAAAGTGAAATCCTCGTACTTTGGCAATGGAGGCAAAGGGTAGAAGTAGAGAGTCTGGTGCAGACTTCTCGGACCAGTCAGAAGATCCGCTCTCTAAAGCGGCAGTGAAACAGCGAATTTTCAGCTGCATACTCCTAGAGGAACGTAAAATTAGACGTAAAACAGAATACCCATTGAATCCGTCCGATAAATCAGGTTTTGTTGAAGTAAATAACAAATCCGCCAACAACTTGACTCACCAGAGAATAAAGCGGACACCATCTATTTCATGCCTGATACGTACTGCCATCTTTTAAATTTCTCTAAACTTTTCAAGATAGTGAAGACGACCTTGTTAGCATGAACCACAACGCACTTGGTCGGTTGATGAACCTACATGCTTGATACTACACCGGCTTCCTGTATCAATATCCGGTTGTTCCCAGTACATGGTTAGGAAAGGAGGGCTTCGATAAACATCTCGTTTTGGATGCCTAGCAATATATTCGATTGAACACCAAGGATATAATCTCGGTAGGACACATTTCCGGAAATCGCCTGGAGGGGTTTCGTGTCACTAATCGGTGATCATCACTATTGAGTCAACTCATTAGTTAAAGTCGCTCAGGACAGTTGTTGTCAAACCATTTAGAATGATGCAGTCCCTCCAGTATGCCGCAAGACGTCGATCAGCCTAGCACGTTCTGCCCACCTCATGAAAGTATTCGAAATGAACAAAAATTACTCAGTAACAGTCAAGAGAAACTATCAGGAGGGTCAGATTCCTGAAAGGAACCTCAGAACGCCCGGGACCTACTGCTCCACCAAAAGCTCAACAGGAAAGCTGGCAAGCATCCAGGCCAGTCAATCATTCAATCAATTCAGCAAAACCTGATGAGTGTTCTTGCACGCCACAGAAACACGACTGGAAGTGATCTGCGTTCAGGCATTTCATAGAGGCACGATCGATGTTGATGGGTGTTCATTAACGCCCATCAAACAGCCTGGATCAATGTCAGAAAGTCCCCTTTAAATAGCGTGGGGTCGTTGTAACCTTTGCTCTCGCACTCGCACGCACTCACGCTCTCGCACTCGTTTGTTCGGAATATACCGGTTGTGTTCCCTTCTGTGAGTCTTTTTTCTCCGGCACTAGGCACTGGAGCGGGTTAGCAACAGATACCACAGGTCAGCGAATCAGCAGATATAACAGAAGCGAAGGGGGTTATTGGTGCCCTACACCGTTTCACAAACATAATGTACGCTTAGAATAAACTTTATCAAAAACAGTAATTTTTACATATATTGAAAACTATCAGTTAAAGAGGAATCTGTGGCATTTGCATGCTCAGGCTAGTTTGAGGATAGCACCATATCACCGAAATTTTTAGCCCCGTTAATTTCATGTTCATACACAGTGGACTAAGAGAAACCCGACTCGAAAAATGACCTAGGCACATAGCAGCTATGCACAGATGACCAGTTCGACAATTTTGGGGTGAAAAGCCATTGAAAACCCAAGCTGCCGAAGAAAACAGAATATGTATGGGTAAATTTAGTTGGGATGTGATAAAAACAGTGTGGCCGCCAGGACCGCAATATCGGCTGAAACATGTGTATACTGGACAATGGTGATTACTCAAGCCAATTTACCGTTCGTGATGGTCATAAACTTTGCTGTACTTCCAGAATTCTGATGAAGGTATGATTCCCTCTGTTGTTTATAATCTGATGGGTTCACTTTTTGTTCAATAAATGCAAACCTGGAAACGAGGATTGAATGAGACTCCCCTCAAGCTAGAGAAGGCAGAGTACACAAAACCACACAGCAGGATGGGTCACTAACAGAACACAAAAAGGTGAACCAACACAGAGATTAACTGGAACGGTCTTGACACTATCCAGGTCGGGTCGGATTGGGGAAAACTGACATCGGGTGGCCAGATCGAATGTCACCACACGACCAGCTAATAAGCCGCAGGTTTTTCACACAGTTGGTCATTTAACAGTGTACTGTGACCGTTAGTTATAGTACCATGTGTTCTAAACTTAACAGAGAGGCCATGTGACGATGAAAAAGGGTTTCTGTGACCTTTCAGGCATCCCGAAAAGTTGGTATTTAGGGAAGGCGGGTGGGACGTGATTAAAACATTAGAGAGTTCCCTTCGGCTGGCAACTACTCGCTTAAAATGTACTTCAATCTGAAGAAAGTAACTTATTTAGTATCCCACAATTCGAGAGTTAACAAGATGGTGTAATGATGTTCTCATTCCTAGAGTGGGATTTATTGATTTGAGACTACGATACACGGGGACGAGAGGCCTGTGAATCCTTCGTTGGACATGGAACATAACCCCGTCCCCACAACAGTAGCGTTGAAAACAGCGTGCATTCAAGAAGAGAGAACAATCACCCATTTCAATTCTCGGTCAACACCAACAGTAAAGTAACTGGACTGTCCACAGGGCAATAAAGGAGACGCAACAGCAGTCCCACGGCACGGACATCCTCGCTCCACGTCCTACAGATGTAAGCCTGAAGGCTGCTCAGTAACTTCTCCTCATTATATGCATTAATGAATGTGTGTGTGTGTGTGTGGAGTGGTGGCGAATACGGTGCTAGTTTCATTGAAGAATGAAGATTGGTCAATCCATAAAACTACAAATCAAGAACGAATCACCATCAGAAATGAGAATGAACCAAGCAAATAAGTGGTTCGGCAGTCCTTACCTGCCGATTCACCGGATGCCATTCTGCTATACATATTATCCAACTCAAGTACTCCCCCTAACAGAGGGAAGCTAAGCCACTAATGCAGAAAAAACGCCATGTTCACTCGTTTCCAAACGACAGTGATGATTGCGTCTCTGTTCACATCAATTATAGAGACCGTATGCCTTTGATTCACCCACTTATATCAATTAAAGCAATGTGGAACATGTGGAACGCGTAGCTACATGGATAAAAGCTCGTGCAACCCCAGGAGAGCATGCTTCCAAGATCAGTACAGTTTTGGACAGTCCTCATGGTGCGCATTATTCAGCGAGAGCACTTAATGAAAGGTTAGACTGCTCGTAAGTGCACAGACCATGGTGGTATTTGATCTAACGCACAAAAAGAACGCTGATTTCCGCGAACAGGGCTTGCAAGATGCTCGGTTCGCGCTGGGGAAGGTTCAACATGGTAAATAATGGGCTAATTTTTCTGTGCCTTGTTGGTTGGTGTTTACCTGTCATATTGGCATGACATGAGTGTCCAATATTGATGCTGCGATGGCGTACACCCGATTTATTTGCAAGTCTTATTGTGAAGAAGAATAAAAGTGGACGGGAAAGGGACTAATAGAACGCTTGCCACAAGCGTCTCCAGGTGCCCACACCTCCAGACACTCATTCAGGCAATCTGGATAGAAACTGACAATAAGGACGCCACTGACAGCGATTAACAGCCATACCTTGCCATATCTTAGCCATGTTAGTGACCACCCGTCGAAGGAACCGACACGTTGCCCGCCAGCCACATAGTGAAAAATCTAGACGGTAAATCGCACAACGCTACACAATCATCAGCGGAGAAAAACATGGCGAGGATTCAGGCGATAAGAGAACCATCCATGAACAGCGAGTTAAGCTAGCGAATGAGTTCTAATTACATAGGCTGCTGACTGAATGCTGATGATATTGAAGTGAGATATTCCTACTCAGTTCCGAGTAGTAAATCGTAGCTGGGTCTAGAATAGAGAAATAGAAATGTGGTGGGAATAAACCCTAAGTAATTTCATTAAAACAGATCTTTCCAAATGGAGTGTACGCCCAGCCTGTAGGATCCACATCAACGTTATCCACCAATCAGTGTGCGACATTCCCCAAAAGATAAGAAAAATCCTTCGTGTGGTGGCTTTTCTTGGGGAATAACTGTATGAAAATAACCAGACCAGACACTCATGAATCGATCTAACACTTACTGCCGAAACATGAAACGAATAAGCTCAAAGTGGAAACCAACTCCGTCCGTTCGCTTCGTCGAAGGGACTTCACTCGCAAACGGTTGGTTGTAGTCTGAGGCAGAGAGGAAAGCAACACACATGTGTGCAGGGAATGGATGAGCATCAGTAGAGATAGACGGTTCGGTTGTTGAGTGGCCGATTTCGGTCCACGGAATGCTTGGTGTTCGCTGAACTGGGCTGTGAGTGATGGTGATGGATGTTCGCCGAACCGAGGCAAGACCAAGAGGCGATGAGGGCAAAGAGGAAACGTAGCTATTGATCCAGAGCGATTGTTTGAGGATCTCCAGAAGTTCTAGAAGTGGAAAAATGGGAGTGTACCAGCCTCATGTTTAATGATTAGGGTTTTCATAAGTGGTTAGGCTAAATGTTACTGGAGTCACTAGATGGCCAGGATCAGCAAACAAGCCTTGCATATCTCAGTTACACTGTGAATGTAGCGCCGCAAGGGAAAAGCTGGATCTTCGAAATCTACAAGGTCGGTGTGTCACCACCAAACTTTCCCAACAAGATTCGATGTTCTAAATGTGTCCAGGGTAAGAAGACAGTGAGAACTAAATAAGCTCTCGGAGTTTAACACAGATGACCCATGCAACAATAAATGGGTGTCAATCTATTACGGTCACTAATACACCGTAGATTGGCTAGGCAAATCAATCAATCAGCTATAAACTATGTATCATGAACACAACAGCTCCAGCTGATAGATTTTCGATCAGTTTCGGAGAGTGGGAGAGTGTGGGACATACAACCAAGCTTTGGAGGCGATCGCATGTTCAGTTAGTTCGGGAACTGGGTAGCTATGCACGAGCGCCACCGCGTGATTGGACCATTTCTGACAGTGTCATTACCCATTGGTGAGTTGAGTCCCGGGGTCCTCATCCAGGGAGGTGGTAGTTGTCGACCCGACTAAGTTTACTGGTCGGTGTCCACTTCTCAGTCAGTCCAACTCAGTATAGGGCTGAACGAAAACAGCTTTGCGAGGCAAAGCTGGCGTACCTCCACATTGCTAATCTGATGTTCCCACCCGATCCGACCAATGCTTCGGAGACACCGACAACTTTCGTATGCCCACTGCACGTAGAGGCCACGTTTCTGATCCATGAAGCAGTATGGACCACAGTGCAAACTTTGCCCTTCACAGACAACTGGCGTCATGTCGGCGCTGTAGGTGTCAGAAGTTGACAAAAGCTGTCCCGGCCTTTCCGATTAGAGAAGAAATCTCGTCTCCAGCCAGTCCACCGGAACTTATACAACTGCCCAGGTAACCGAATTTATCTATCATATCGACTGGCTTGTCTACAAGCATGAGGTTAAAGTTTGATCCCAACCAGTCTTGTAGACGCACTTTACACTTTGCAGGTGTGAAGCGCACGATAAACCATGCGGTAGAATTATTTGGGTTAGTTAAAACAGTTTACATTTTTAACGAATCTGAACCAAGGGGAGCAACGTAGTGGAGTGTACAATCATCCGGGCTTCGGGCAATAAATTGCTGGAGCAAATCCAGAATACTCACCGCAGTATAGTTCGAAGGGGGCACTCCAAACATCTGAACTCACATATTCAACTGCTGTTGACGACTGTAATAACCCCAGTCAAGTCTAGACAGTTAAGCTGCATTCCAGTCTTACACTTATCTCAAGACACTTAACAATGGAAGGGGACATCTGGGTTTGACTGAAGAAAAAGATCCATTTGAAATATAGAAGCGGTATTACTTGTATAGATTTTTGGTACCTAAATTTTCCAAAGCTTGGCTACCCGAATTTTCTATACCCCAAATGCTCCCAGCGAAATAATTACCCAAAATCTGTTAGAATCCTGATCATCATTGGCAATCCCAAAATCCCCACGTGACCCTCATCTGAAAAGTCGTCACTCAGGGAAACGATCGGCGCTGGATCACGTGACATGAACTGCGTTATTGATTGACAGTGGCGATTGTCCTGTTTAAATGATCAGCCAGTATCAGCTGGGTGACACAGAATCCAAGTCCTTACAGGTAAGCTTGCGGCCTGGAATCTCTGAAGTGATTCGTGGAGAGCGCGGTTCTTGTGGATGAATCATCATGTGACCACAAGACAAGTCACTGCCGTACAACCAAAAAGCTCTCAAAGGGTGAACAGGAGGCATCTGGTGCTAACCTACCACACAACCGTTCCATAGAGTCCACATTCACTTGGATAATCGAGGTGAAAACTGAAACTACGAATGCCATTGACATTGAGCAGTAAACTCAATTGCACCGGTATTTGCCACAGACGACAAGCATACACAAACGGCGCACTTGTATGATGGATATCATATATAATCCGTAGCTATTCCACTCCTCGATACAGCAGAAACCTTTCAACAAGGTCAGAAAATGACCGAAACCCCTAGTAGACGATATGTAGCAGACTGAACAGAAGTAAGTGGTTTCTAGCTCAACTTTTGCAGGCTGCGGTACTATCCATCAGACATCGGACCAAGAGGAAAATGTACTCTGATAATATCTGAGATCAAACCACTGAACAAACCTTCCATCAACCCGGCTCGAAAACCGAAGAACTTCACACATACGGAGTTGACCAACCAATCGGAGGGCGACACGTCGTATTGACCAAACGGGGCCGGTTCCGTTAGAGTGCGACGTAGCAGAACCACATTTAAATGCGCTTGAGCTCCCAAGTGTCCGAGCAACATACCTATTTGATGAGCGGATTTGCCAGACTTGTACGAATCCCCGTCTTCCTCATAAGATTCTTCTGTATCAGGTGTATCTGAGGTCGAAAGTAGTTTTCCACAGAGTGGGCCACTTTTAACTCGTATATGAAGACTGGTTGCGTGGGAAAAATAGAGAACATGGAAAGGGTATCTGACAGGTCACAGTCAAAATGTCACTCACAATAGTGCTAACTGTTTATGCACGTAGCTATCCATGATCGAAGCGGTGAACAGCTGCGTCACTTTAGAAAGTTCGAGAAAGCCCAGTTTTATGGTGCGAGATACTCCCTGTTTTGCTTTCGTTCAAGAACGTCTGTTCAAAGTCGATATTCGATCTAATTTGATCGTAAAATGGTAGTCTTGGGAAGAAAATTAGTGGAGATAATATTCACCGAGTACTTGACACAACCACATGGATACTTAGTGTACTGGGAACAATTCGCTCGTGGTGTCGGACAGTTGTGGGGGAATTGTAAGAGAACAATTAGGTTGTGTTCAGTCATGGAAAAAGCAGACCACTAAGTGTTCCACCTTCACTGGAGTTGATAAGGTGGATATGATGGGATACACTGACTGACGGTTTTCACTGATGATGGAAACACAACACGGGCATAGACCATGGATGGGTGCCCCAAAGACGTGATGCTCAACGGATCCTCTACGAAGATTGTGAAAAGCTACGAACAGTCGTGTGACTACTCATAAGTAGTCGAATCGCCTGACAGTATTCAAAGTGCCGACCGGAGGTGTGATCCTTTTCAAACCACTGTGAGCAACCGTCAGTAGCCGAGCTCACACCTGTTGGGATCATCAATTTTATTTCGGCTCAATTGTTCGGTCTGAGTCTTCTGGCTCAACGGTTCATGTAGAACAACAAAAGTGGTTGCGTTGGTACGAGGAAGACCCGGAAACAGACTTGGTTGTTCAAGCTGTAGTATTTCTGAGATCGATCTAACTTTATGAACAGATTGGGTCGACCAGTGCGAGCTATGTTGATGGATCATTGTGGCACCCAACTATGTTGAACTGTAGGATTCCAGCTAGCAACTATAGTGAATTATGACCATCCTCAGTTGAATACATGCAAATTCCCCGGCCAGAGTCTTACCATCCGAGTTGAGTCTTTTGTTGTCAAAATTAGTGAGGAACCATAATCAACCAGAGATACAAGATTCCCATTTTTGGGCCATAGTGGGCCATTTATGGAGATTCCACAAGGAGGACGTGGTGCGCCAATCACCGTGGAACTAATTCAAACGAGGCGACCCAGAAAGTTAACCTCCGAAAATCACAATACGCACACTTCTGAAACAAGCCATTGTGGCAGAAAGGTGGAGGATCCATCCCCTCACAAAGACCACTTTATACCACCTTCGGAGTGTTTTTTTATGAAGTTATTAGCACCGCATGACGTAGAGGAGGCAATATCCAGTTGTGTTGAACTTGTTCCGATAAACTTAATACGACAGATGTTCAAAACGACCTAAAAAAACCGCCACAGACAAACAACGGCGGTTAGGCCTATGGTGTTCCCCCTGGAGAAGCCATCTTTCAAAATAAGCCATTTTGGTTACACCCTTACAAAACAGACTGCATTAAGAGAAACCTTTACAGTCAGCGGCTTATTGAAATGATCGCTCCAGAGGAGGGAAATGACAATTTTCAGGATCAACCATATCCTACTTTATGATTACCACTTTCAAACCCCATTCCCAATCAGCAGGCCTCCACTTTCCTCGGAAGATCCCGACAGAGTTTGGCGAATGCCTCTCCGAGATAAGTTCAGAACCCTTCAAAAGGTTATTACTCTAGGGATGCCCATCATTATGGGCATTGAAAATTACCACAAACCCGCATATGTAAAACGACCTCGAAACGTACAAACCCGATTCCGATTGAAACGTGACGAGTAGATAGCTCAGCCCAAACGTCGCCGCGATACAACTGTTTGTGGCCCAACTGAAATAATCCACGTTAAGCCGTTCAGAGCCGCCATCAACTGACGCCCGCTTTTCAGGTCTAACTGACGATCGACGAACGTCTTGGTGACGGTGATTACGGGCTCGGCCAATTGCAGAATGTGAGGCGTGGTCGCCGAAATGGCACAGTAAGCTTCTGTCGGCCAGCTGTGTAGAAGGCCATAGACCAACCCGTACATTGCTTACCGTGATGGAGAAAAACTAGAGTGGGATGAAGGGAGAATGTGAAAAGATACGTTCTTAGGGTAAACTTACTGAATATTAGCTTTCCTGTTAAAGGTTATGATAACAATGACGACGCTAGCCATAGATACGGATGCGAAAAGTGTCAGACAAGTCACCACGCTCAAATACACCCATTAATATGGGTGTATTGCAACATCAGAATGCAACTGCAAACCTGAAATCCTTCGCCAAGACTATATTTACAGTTGACTGATCAGGCCCAAGACTCCAATGTGAGGCATTCCTTCCAACGTACGAACAGAACTCTGACAGTTGGGGCTGAGGTGGCTTCGGTAGATCGTAAAGATGTACATGTCACGCACAGTAAACATAGGTCACTAGAAAGAAAATGCAACCCTGAACATAAGTGGGCTTGTTGGACAAAACCGAAAAATGGTCAATTTTGTGTGTATACCTAAATTTGAGGCAGAATATTAAATGGGACATAGGTGTCTGGGCCGTTATGGGCTTAGCTATCAGTTGGAACAAAAGAAACCTGCACAAATGCTCACCAAACATTATGCTGCTCGTTCATCTGTGACCCAAAACACTGTAAACATTGGATAAAAACAACCTACCGAAGATCTCAAGTTCCCCACTACGGACTTTCATTTAGTAAAATACGTTCAGTAAAAAAATTCAGTAAAACGCATTTGCAAAACAATACCAGGAGGATTGACGATTTTGGTCAAGGGTCGTTTTCACATGACGTTTATTAGAACAGCGGGAATAAGAATAAATTGCATCACACCTCACTTTAGTTTATGATCTAAAATACAGGTGCAGCGCACCAACTTCTAGGAAACTGATTGAAAGTTCGGCAGTATCAATGGTGAGTATACCATGATCAAACGAAAGCACTGACTCCCCTACTCACTTGAATAGTTTTGAAGGGTATCTTCGAGAGGAAAATTCGTTGATTTTCTGTCCTGAGATGCCGGACACGAGAGGCCTCTCGCTTTCTGCGGACTGCCTTTAACAACCCATACAGACCTTCATGAGTTGTGTGGAAAGCAACGCAGTCAATAATCACAGATAAAACGGAGCTGAGATATAAACATTTTTAATAGATGCGACATACGGGGCTGCCGGATTCCAGAGGTTTGTAGTAACACGTACTGTATCTATTAACTACCCACGCCGTGAGTCAACAAAACCACACTTACGATTAGTTCCCCATTGAAAAATCCGATTGCGATACCTTTGGCAAACAAGAAGCCGAAACGTTGAACGGAGAGATCACAAGGCAGGTATCTAGAAATGCATTTTGCGAGAACTGACTCAAGGATTCTGTTGAGTGAGATGGGTAAGGTCGGAATGATCGTGCACTCACTTTGGAACAATGTATACAATGACTAACAATACGAAAAGGATCACAATAGCCCAGTGAAATGGAAAGCGCTCGGCAATGATTGATACGGGCAATTGCGTGGAGGATAACATTCTGACGAAGTTCAGTTGGAAAAATTGGTCCAAGTGCACGCAGGCCGATTCGGGTAGTATGTAAACCAGTCAACTGATATCATTAGAAGACACTAGGGGAAAGAAAGAAAGCAACGTAAAACGCCCTAGTAGGTATAATGGTGGGCAACTTAGAAAAGCATCACTCATACTCAGCTGAAATATACCCGCCAGCAAACAGTCGCCAATGGGTAGGCCCCGTCCAGTGTGTCATCGTAGGGTAAGTGCACCCAATATAGTGAAAGCGTGTCTCGCGAAGCACTTTTTACCTAGCTCTGTACTGAGTGAGAGGTGCACAGTGGAGGAGTAGACCTGAAAACATTAACTAGTGAACTCAGTCGGGTTGACGGCTACCGTCTCCCTGGATGACGACTCCGGGACTCAAATGATTAAAGGTGGATGAAACTGGTAGGCACGGCTTGATCACGCAATTAGTGGCGCTCTTGCATCAAAGCCATCGCCTTCAATGAGTAGCGCCAAGTACCCCATTAACCCCAGAATGATACAATGTAAATTAACTGATTATGTCATTGCATCCTATGTTTGATCATATCCTCCACGATCTCCTATTTTCCGTAGGCCGCAACTCTAAGACGTGGGACCAAAGCACCCTTGGTACTTCATAGATGATAAATTGAAATGAAGTGAATTTATGAGCCATTGTTAGGCCGTATGCGGACTATCTCGATGTTTCGGTTAAGGAGTGCATGGCACCGGCTAGAACAGCGTTGTTGATCTTCGATGCAGGTGATGGCTCACTCAGATGAAGTGCTGCATTGGAGAGTCACAGTGAACTCAGGAAAGACAACTTACATCATATTCAGGGGTCTCTTGAGTAATAGTTACTAATGCAGTTTTTTGTGATGTCCGGAGGCACAGACATTGAAAGAAGTCAGTTTGAATATTTGAAGAGGTTTTGAGACGTTTAGAAAGAGTCCGAGAACGAGTTAGAACAGAGTCCAGGTCTTCGAGGATAAGCAACGTTTTACTTGTCTAAGAACAAGCGTACATGAGCTGAAATGTACATACAAAAGTTCAGTACGAGTATATATGGTAAGTATGAGAATAAGCACACAAAAATCAGGACATTCACCCCGAAAGTGTTTGAATAGGCACATATGAGCTGACGTAGACAGGAAGCGATGTACTGAATCAAGCTTCTCTGTTCCTCAAACTATATGGATGAATGCGTCGCTATTGTTCTAGAATCCCAGGATAACTCGTTCGGTGTTCGGAGGACGGTACAGAAGAAGATTCAGATGCTTGAGAGCTATCGGGCTGACCTCCGGTTAGTTCAGTCGTATCTGGGTGTTCGGTATCCTCGTTGGATTCAGACAGATTGAGAACATTGTCAGTTGTATTCTGAACCGCCGGGGCTAGACGGCGAAGGGACACGGTTTCGGCTCTTCCGCCTCCATGAGTAATGTGTGCGTAGTGTGGGTTGCAGTTCAGAAGGTCAACTTCTACTAGTGGTTGGTACTTGGATGACCTATCACCTCGTTG